TTCCCTAATAATAAATAAATAAAATCTTTTTAAAAAATCATTTAAAAAGAAACATTCAAAGAGTTAACACCCTAAAGGTAAGGTTTTCTCCATCATTCTCTCTTGTATCAAGTAGCCCACACTTCTGTGGAATGACAACTATAAATTACCACTCTGTCATCAGTGCTCACTAGGGAAAAACAAAAAACAGCAGTTTTTAAGCAGATAGCAATTTTATTCTGTAAAACTGACATTAATTGTTCTAAAGTATTGAGAACTGTTTTTGAGGATTCAAAGTACAGAAACTAAGAAAAATAAGATTTAGAATGTTTTTTGGAATTCCTAAATTCACACACTTCAAACAATACCTGTCATCTTGTCATTAAACCTCAATCAGACTTCCTGGAATAACACAGTCTTGAATTATTGTGAGAGCTTCGGTAAATAAGGCATTTGCTGCAGTTAAGTGGGTTTTAGGCATTTTAATGCAGATATTTATTTTAATGGAAACATATAATCATAGACATGTTCTTTCTTTTACTTTAATCTGTCAGAAAAATAATGAGATTTTAAACCTATTACTCCAATAACTAGTTTAAAACAGATTACTCATATAACTAGTTAAGCATATAAATTTATACATACCCACTTCAATGCAGAAGCAGCGATCTGTGCTACTAGCTCTTCTACTCCAACAATAATCCTTTTTCCCTGCTGCCCACCCATCAACTAAAATTTTTAAGACATGTGTCCCTTTAAAGTAAAATGAACATTACTATCTTGCTGATACAAGAAGCACAAAAACCCAATATTCTCCGATAAATGTAACTTATAGCACCCACAGTATCCTCTGGGCATGCTGTACCTCTGGCAGATATCACAGAGGAAACAACTATCCTTAATGATGCCATTCCTTAGCACATGGAAACAATTGCACCAGCTTTAAACTAAGGAGCCATTTCCTCATCTGTAAATGAGGATGACAGTTCATTTCCACTACATCAAAATCCCTCAAAAGTTGGTGAGATAGCTATACTATCTCCAGCAAAAGGATGCATGCTTAAAGCTTCCTCAGATCTTCCTGGGAACCCATGCTGCAGAATTAGGTAAGAACATCAGTCCACCAAGCCATAAACTTTTACTGGGTGCTTCTATTTGATCTACCAAGATCTACCAAGATTTACTGGGGTCTACTTAGAATGCTGTCATAAAATTCCATACTATGGCTATTTGAAATACAAAGAGGTTCAGAGTTTTTGCCAGAAATTAAGAAAGAACTATGTATGTTAGAGATAGATAGATAGATAGATAGATAGATAGATAGACCAATGCTCTACAGTCGTTGGTAATATTTATTAATATCGTAGCATCACAACGGAAGCTCAAAAGCCACAAGAAGAGTTGAATGACCCCACCCCACATCTGCCATCCTTCACAGGGTACAGGCCACATTTTGAGCCCTTGTACTCTCTTTCTCTGTCATCTTTCCAGGCTATTGGCTGTTCTTTCCAGGGCTTCTTTTTCCCACCCCCTGACCTGGGGGAAGCTGCCCTCCTAATACATCCTCTATCCTTTCTACATTGTGCCTCTTAGAAGGACACTCTGACTTCTAAATTTTGCCTTTGATACATAAAGAAAGCTTTTCAGAAAAAAAAAAGTTTATTCTCTCTTTCTCTCTCTCTCTCAAAGCTAGACTTGTTTAAAAACTATTACCTTACCATAGAACTTTTATTTTTAATAAATACTTTTATTTCAAAGTTGAACAATGACTTCTCTATTCCAAGTATCTACCCTTCCCCCAAAGCAGATACTGCCACTGAACAAGCAATTACCTTACATGAAGAAACCAAATAATGCAGGTGCATGGCAACAGTAAATGCTAAATCAATGCTAGCTACCAATTATTCTTATGTAAATATAATTATTACCTATGCTACTAGGAAGAAACAGTTTCTGTTTCTTTCTCTCCTTACCTAAATTTAGGCAGAATAATATGTATAAATTCTTTGAACTTTGAAAAATACATAGCTTACAGGAAGGTAAGGTATTTTTGTCAGGTAAATTACTTTGCTTAGTAGGTTCAAAAAATAAATTGCCACTCCTGCCTCTCTGATATCACCACACAAACAAAAAGAATTATTTTGTTCCTTAGAGCCTCACAAATATTAGATTATAGTGATTATATTTCTGATATTCAGTGATTTTTATCTATAAAATGGGCAACTTTATATGGTTCAACCTAAAAATAAGATAATCTAATTAATTTTTAAATTCTTTGTATTAGAACTTTTTCACTGACGGACCTAGAGAAGAAATTGCTGGGGTAACCCCAAGAATCAAACAGGGTTGCACAACAGGAATGGGGAGAAACCTAGTACAGACTCATCGATCTGCAAATGAAGACTTAAGGCCAGAGAGATGCAGTAAGTTTCCCAAAATATCACGGCCAATTACTGGCAAAATGAAGGTTTGCTGTCTGTGCTGTGCTTCCCACCGCATCGGTCTCCCTTCCCTACCTCTTTACAGGTGTCAAAATATGTTAAGAACATCATGACTTTACTTAGAAATCAGTGCTCAGGGATGATAATTAAGGCAAATATTAAAAACTTAGATAAAATCTGGGATAGAGCATGTTTTTCAAAGACTTTTGATCAAGGACAATTAAACTTTTAAAAGAAGGAATGTCAAAATAAAGGTGTTTGCTTAATTGGAGATTCTCCTGATTAAACCATTTTTAAAGCCCCCTTTATGGCCCTACTCTGAGTTTTGAGACATGGATGTTTTTTAGTGTTTCTTGAGCTAACAGCTTCTGGTTTGTGCTTTATTGTTATTGTTTCAACATTATCTTCAACCCTCAACTTATTTGCAAATGTAACTCATAATTGTCTCTAAAATACGGTAACATCAACTAAGACAAAAAGAAAATATCTTAAATAGCTCTAACCTTAGTTCTTTGCAGCCTTTATAGTTTTCAAAGGAGAAAACATCACCAACTTTAATCTCCCAATTTAAGTAATGAATACAACGTGTTTGCATGGACACCATGCCTAGAGGCCATTACTGTGACTGGTATAATATTTTGTTAATGCTGCACAGCTATTACAAACTTTGGGTAAAGTTCTATTAGGACTTTTGCCATAGGCACCATGCTAGTATCTATACAAAATTGATTCATTTAATCTATATTTCCCCTGTAAGGGCTGTACTAATAATCCCATTATGTGGATAAGGTAACTAAAATTTAGGAAAGTTCCATAATTTTCCAAGGTCCCCCAGCTAGTGACAGTCAGCTACTAAAAGGAGAAGAATTGAACTGCTATGAATCCTACCTCCATGGCACCTTGTGACCAAGCAGAAGTCTATGCATCCTGATAATTTATGTCCCAGATGGGACGATAGTGGCTAAACCATTTGTAAATCCCAGATTTCACATGACAAGCTCTATTTAAAATATTCCAGGTTGTTTTCAAAACATAAGGCCGCTGCAACAGCAGCAATGCCAAATCGATTGCCCTGTCTGCAACTTACACCCCTCCCACTATCAATTCCTATGGCAAATTTTAAATATGTCCACACACTCTTTGATAGTCTTCCCTTCAAATGTGGAGCCTACTTCTCCTTCCCTTGAGTGTAGGCTGTACTTGGTGAATGAGCAGAAGGCGGTAGAAGGGACCATGCCTGACTTTTCAGGCCAGCTCATAGAAGGAACCGTGGCTTCCTCCTGGCTCTCCTCTCTTGGATCACTCAGTCGCCGGGGAAGGCGGCTGCCATGTCATGACCACAATAAGCAGCCCTGCGGAGGGGACCACAGGGGCAGGAACTGAAGCTGCCGGCCCTCCTGGGAGTGAGTCCATCCCTTCCAGTCAAGCCAGCAGATGACTGCAGAAGAAATTCCAGCTGCAGCCTCAAGGAAAGCCACGGTCTAGAGCCACCCAACTAAGGTGATCCTAAATCCCTGAACTTCAGAAACTGTGAGATAGTGAATATTTGTTTTAAGCCTGCGAGTTTGGGAATAATCTGCTATGAAGCAATAGATAATTAATGCACATTTATGCCTAAATTATGTTTTTTCTTATAACAAAGCAAAAAATTGAACTATCCATGGCTACAAACACTACTGTGTCCATAAGCCAAACATTCTCTTTCGTCCAGGTTCACTTAGAACATATGCAGGATGTGAGACGACCAGAGGGTGTTCTCCTCAAGGCTTTGCCCCTGATGGAAAATATAATGTAAGAACACACATAGTAAGATTGTTCCTCCACCTGTTACATCATGTTCTGTACCCCATGAGAATCAGATCGATAAATAAATAAACATAAAGAGCAAAATTGTCACCCTTGAGATGCCAGCACTATCCCTGAACACCCAGCTTGTCATGTGCAATTATAAGCATCACCCTGTGATAACGTCCTGTATCACAAAGCTCTACACTTCAGCAGTTGAAGATAGAACATGTCCTTTAAGAGCAGGAAGCCAGTAATTTCTTTAAATATGTTATTTTCCCCCATCAGACTGAAGGCAGTTACAAAATGATATAGTAGGTGCAGTGAACTTAAAGAGTAAAAACCTCCCTTAGGAAAAGAGGCTGTTGCCATGTGAGTGAGGAGTGGCCCTGAGCACCGAAAAGCTCAGGATAGCTAACTGAAGTGTTTTGTCAACTCTGTTCCAACACAATGAGACCAAAACACATCAAACCTCTTGTCAATCACAAAACATTTTTCTTCCTTCAAGCTTTAGTCAAAGGGAAACTCAACACAGACATCTGAAAAGCTAAGAAGACAGGAAATGGTGGTCAGCTTTTTCCCATCTGCTCTTCAAACTCAAAAGAGAGCATTACTTTCATAAAGCTAATGTGTCCTTTAGTGATGCCCATTCATCATGCCTGCCATGGTGGCAGCGGCCAAACAGCTCATGTGTGATTTCTTAATGGAGCCCATCCTGGAAACAGTGACAGGCCTCCCCTGACCCACAGCCCGGCAAGTTGCCATGCTCAGGAGAATGCGAAGCATGAAGCTTACCCAGCCCTTCGCAAGTCCCAGTCTTGTCTTTAGAGTGCTTTCTTTTCCCTTGTTGCTCCAAGAATGGAGGGCCTCCTATCTTTTCGAAACACAGCTTCTTGTTGATGAACAGGAACAGGACAGCCAGAAGGACAATGAAGAGCCCAACTGCAGATAAGAAGCCAATGGCTTCAGGTGGGACTGGCAAGAGAACACAAAGGGAAAAACATTATCACAATTAAAGTGACCCAACGTTAGTTCTAACACATGATCAAATGTATTCAGAATCTTTATGTTTATTAATGAGAGTGGGAAATATTCCACAGGTCCTGACTGGCTGGCACCCCCAGGACTGTGTATAGGGGAAGGGAAAAGGGCGCTTGGCAGGGACATCCTGCTAGGCCGGTTCCTTATACCTTTGCACATGTGGTTTCTTCTACCTGGAACACAGCTCTTCTCACTCCTGTTCTCAGCCTAATATTCAACCTCAAGCACTCAAACTATAAAAGAGATATCCATCAAATGTATTGAGCTGGAAACGGTTGACCAGTGTCATAAAAGCAAGTCGCTTAATAATACAGCTGCCTAAAGCTTTAAAAATAATCACTTGGGACAAACTTTCAGACGTATACATCCATCAGTATTAGTGATTGAAACAAAAGTCATTTCCTGGATGCACGTTTGCAAATCCAGCCACGTAATATGACAATGATGATTACCACTGATAATGAGAAAGTTCCTAATCCATGCCATCCACATAAGAAATTAGAATTATATTTTGAATGCTAATATTTTAGAATTTTGGAAGATGAAATTCCATCTTCCTCCTTCTTCTTATCAAGAAATCCCGAGCTTTAAATAATGCTGATTAAGTGTTATCCAGTATTACTTAGAGTCCCAGCCATTGTGTTCGACTGAGAGGTATATAAAACAGGGAACCAGAACTAGTTTGGGATTGAGGAAAGACTCTTCTAAGGAAATTATATTTGAGCCAAGACAACATCCAGTAAAGAAATCCAGATATCAACTAGTGTAGAGAAATCGATTGCAGATCAGGTGTCAGTCAGAGTTATCCAAGGGAGTTGGGCATATGTGAAAGCTTATGAAAACGAATCTCCTAAAAGCAGCTTTAATCCTTGGGCAGATTTAATATTTGTATTAATAATATGAAGGAATAATATTCACCCTACCCTACCATCCTGATAAACAGAAAAAAGATGAATCAAACCAGTCCTGGCTCCATGAAAAGATAAAGAAAATGAGTAGTACTGCCTCACTAAACCTATCTAGTGGCAAGCCAATAAAAGCACAAACAGAACTAGCAGGTAAGATAATAGCTTTGTGGTCTGCAAAAAGATAATAGCGCCTGCTATCAAAGCCAACATATACCATGAAAAAAAACTATGCACATAACAAACTGTCCCCTCGCCCTTCAGGGGCAGCACAGATAGCGGTGCTCTCTGGCCATGAGTACGGCACTCACACTGTCTGGGAGAAAATTGTCTGCCACTACTTCTTATCTGTGGGGTCTTGGGGAAATTATTTAACCTCACTATGCTTCCGGTTCCTAAGCAATGAAAGGAGATAACAAATATAGCTACACCAAAGATTAAATGAGGTAACACAGGGAAAATAGTCTATGTGGCCCCTGGCACATAGAGAGTTCCCCAACAGGAGTAACCATCTCCCTCAGCATCACCATCATCATCTTTACAGAGCTGTTAACCTATCCAGTGGCAGTTAAATTCGATGGGCGTGCTGCTTACGCACATTCTGTGCTTTGGACCCATTTCCCTCCCTTTCACCAAAACAATTATCTCTGCCTTTTTGCCCCTCACTTCTGTATTTTCAGCTACTTTCCCTTGTAGATACACCAACCATCTTTTTCATCTGCATTAAAAATGTACCAAGTACCTCTATTCCTCTAAAAGCCCCTCCTGACCACCATGTGCTCCCCAACCACAGCCCTCTCTCCTTTCCCCTATACAACCAACCACCTCCAGAGTATTTCTGACACTCACCCCTGCCTTCTGACCTTCAAAGCCACAAGCATCCTTTACCCTGACTCCCACCAGTCTCCATATGCACCTTCAAATCCCTTCTCCATGTCGCAGCCAGAGGGATCCTTCTGAAATACTCACATAAGCCTGATTTGTTCAATTGCCCTCCTACAGACATCTGTACTGGACTGAATTGTGGTCCCCCAAAAGATATGCTCACCCTGAATCTCAGAATGTGACCTTATTCGAAATAAAGTTCTTTGCATATGCAATCAGGGTAGGATCTTAAGAAGAGATCCTCCTGGATTAGAGTGAGCCCTAAATTCAACGATAATCATCACCACAAGGGACTGAAAGGGAGAAGACACAGAAGAGAGCCACGTGAATGTATGGGCCAGAGACTGGAGTTACGAAGCCTGTAGCCGAGGAAGCCCAAGGGCTGCCAGGTGCCACCAGAATCTAGGAGACAAACATGAAACAGATTCTCCTTCAGAGATTCCAGAGGAACCAACACTGCTGACACCTTGATTTTGGACTTCTCACCTCGAAAACCGTGAGAAACTAAAGTTCTGTTGTTTAAAGCCATCAAGTCTGCGGTAGTTTGTCGTGGTACCCTTAGGAAATTAATACACTCTCCAATGGCTTTCCATTACCCATAGGAAAAACTTTGAATTCCTTTCCTTGGTTCAGAAGGTCTTCCATGACCCAGCTACTGATTCTAGCCTTTGTCACTGGTCACTCACCAACATCAAACCCTGCTGTCAGTGTATTCCTCTATTTCTGGTTCCCCAAACATAGCTCACATCCAGGCCTTTAAATAGGCTATTTCAACTCTGCAGGACGAATGCTCACCTCTCTTCTGGCTTCTAACTCTGATACTGAACTTCCTCTGAAAGCCTTTCTTGTTCCTCTTGACCAGGCTGGATGCTTGTGCTGTCTGTTCCCACACACTGAGCCCTTGACAGCTTTTCAAGAGTTTTCAAATGTTAAGTTTTAAACTTCATAAGAACAGGAACTATGCCTCAGTTACTCACTGTACTCTCAGCAGCTCACATAGGCTAGGCACTCAATAAATATTTGATGCTTGAATCAACATTGAACTCCTCTGTGTTACGACATGTCACATAGTGTACCTATCAATGAACATTTTTGGAAAGAAAAGATGTACCTCAGTGGGTCAGTAACACAAACACAGGATATGATTTATACAAAATCCAGTCTTAGAAAAAAGAGATTCATATCATTCATCAGCAGAAATATTTGTACCTAATAATTCTATTCATTATTGAATGCCAATTTTTATTTTTGAACAAAGTCTGTTTTGCCATTATAAAGTAACATGAGGCTCATCACATAAAATCTGCAAAATATAGTAAAAGATAAAGACAACCACTGTTAAGACCTTGCACACTTCCAGTCACTTTGACTTCTCAAGCTGGTGGAGAATACTAGGAATAAGTACACTTCTGGCTAAAGCAGAGAGAAAGCTTAAGTTTGGTTATTTCAACAGAGTTCATGTTCCTACCAGAATATGTCAAGTCCAGTTTTATCTTGTTCTATGTGTTCAGGAGTACTTAGTGGGAATTTTGAAAGAGTGTATAAAGGGCTGATAGCCAAATGCTTTGTTAAATGTAGGTTAGCTTACGTACTTTCTACAAGAGTAGGGCATCACAGAATAGCTAAGAAGTTGGCAGTGACCCCAGACTTGTAAGAATTGCTTAACCAGGATTGTACACAAACTGCCCTTTTTAAAAGGGACTTAAAATTCCAAACATAACCCAGCAATTCCACTTCTAGGTATTTCCCAGGAGACTTGAAAATATATATTCACACAAAAATGTGCACATGAACATTAATGATAGTGTTATTCATGACAGCCAGAAAGCAGAAATAACCCAAATGTCCATTAACTGAAAATGTATAAACAACCTGTGCTATATCCAAACAATGGGCCCTGGCTGGCATGGCTCAGGAGATTGAATGCAGGCCTGGGAACCAAAGAGTCACTGGTTTGAGTCCCAGTCAGGGCACAAACATGCCTGGGTGGTGGGCCAGGTCCCCAGGAGGGGGCATGCGAGAGGCAACCACCACTGATGTTTCTCTCACTCTCTTTCTCCATCCCTTCCCCTCTCTAAAAATAAATAAATAAAATATTTTTAAAAACAAACAATGAAATATTATTGTGCTGTAAAAAATGAGGTACTAATACATGCTGCAACATGGATGAACTTCAAAAACGTAATGCTAAGTGAAAGAAGCCAGTCACAAAAGCCCATATATCACATGATTCCAGTTCTATGAAATGTCCAGAATAGGCAAATCCATGGAGACAGAAAGTACATTTTGTTGTACCCAGGAGCTGGAGGGAGGGAGAAATGAAGAGTGACTACAAGTGGCTATCAGTTTTCTTTTTGAGGTAATGAAACTATTCTGGAATGGGAGAGTAATGATGGTAGTGCAGTCTTGTGAATATACTAAAACTAGTGAATTGCACACTTTAAGAGGGTGTGAATTCTATGGAATATAAATTTTCTCTCAAAAAGTGTTGAAGTTCTGAATACATCATTTTAGTAAAGATTGAACAGAAATTGTGAGATAATTTATAATTGTTTTCTTAGATTTGGTTTGAAAGTAATTTTCTTCCTGTTAAAACACTCTGTAACTTCATTATTCAATATTTAGAATTAAAGTTTAAGTGTAATAGGCTATGAGAACTATAGTCAGCACAGCTCTGTCATTGATATGCAACACTGAACAGAGCAAGGCCACAGCTCTATCAGGATAAGCCACAGAGGGTTTGATGCTGCATCTGAGTCTAAACAAAATTAGAGACTTTGGCAGGGACATTTCAAGTCATTTTGCATTCCATATATACAAATGCTTGAGTGAAGAACAAGCATCATATGTGTCATCTGCAATGGATGACAAGGGCACATATGTCAAGAAATGTAAGTGCCATCTGTAAGTGCCAGAGTAACTCATCTAATTAGTCCAGTAATTACTAAATTGGAAATCAGATGGCTGTGAAATCCAGTCACATAGTTCAGATTGAAAACTTCCACAAAGTTAACTATGTCCCTCATGTTCCACTGGAAAGCCCCATCTGTTGAATATCAAGCCATGGCTCAAGGAGAAGACAGAGCCAACA